AATAAAGCAGGGTAGGGGAATGGTCTCGTGGCTGCCTTGTTTTCCTGACTCTCACCGGTCTCCGCTGCCATCCAGCTTGGCTGGCTGGAACTGGGGACGGCAGCTTTGAAGCTCAGTGTCATAGTCGCACTGATGTTAGGAAGAGATTCTCRGAGTGTACCCACAGAATTAGTGAGACAAAACTACCGTGTATTTGCGGCTGTCAAGGATTTACTGTTTATTGGTGTGTGAGGAGCCACGTATGCTCACATACCCAGTTCYCATGGACTCTGTTAATGTGGATTGGTACTGGGTGGTGAGGCTGCCTGCTGTACCTGATACAACACAAGTGCTCTGGGGCTGGTTGTTGTTTGTCTCTTCCTGATTTCTAGAGGCTACTGAAAAAGGACTGAAAAAAAATGGGAAAAATACATGTGTTGGTATATAGACAAACGACTTAGTGACTTTTATGGGGGTGTGTGTAAATCACTCGCTATGCTGTGCAGTCGATAAATGTCACAATTCTGTCTCTTGAGTTTATTAAGTCAAAATTGGGACATCCTTCAAGCTGAGTGTTTATTATACAGTAGTAAACTTACACTTTAAATGAAACTGTGTAAAGYGGAAACATATTGTTTATTTCTTATTTATACAGAACTATATTGTGTGCTACAAATACTGTATTTGCCTAGTGCTGTTTATAATTGCAGAACCATACAGTCTATGGACAATTTCACTTAAAACGRAGGACATTTAAATAAATCAATCAGATTTTACTTCCGTTCTGTTGGCAAGCATACTGGCCAAAATGGTAGTGCATCTCTGGTATTGGGAAGCAATGATTAAAGCTCTCCTACAGACTTAAACCTTCCAGTCTTAAGACAGTTCTGTTTGGTCAGATGTCCATCTTGTGAAGGTACATATTATATACCTGATATGTTACTTYCCTCCAAATGATTTAGGAAGTGAGAAAAAGGTTAACGAAAATGTCTKGTTCAAAAGCTTCTCCAGAGCATGAGAATAAAGTCTTTGTTCTGTCACCCAAGTTCTCTTCAGGTACCCTTCCAGTTGATTTCTTGTGCGTTTAGTCTTAGATGTGTTGAACACTTCAAATACGAGCCTACCAGAACAGCGGAGAGCTCCAAAAAAAGGTGGGAAAAGGTGTGAATGCCTTCAGGCCTTCTACCTCACACTGCCTGGCTGAAAAACGGTATTGTCCAAKCTGAACTTGAAGGCCATTAGGAGAATGTTTTAGGAGTTTTAGGAGAATGGTGGCTTCCTTGGGGCCTTGAGTGGTTTTTCCGCTGTCAACTGAGTAATCTGCTTGAGGTGCAGAAACAAAGTGAGGATCTTTTTTATCTCTTGTGTGGGAAGCTCTTCTTCCCAGCTGAGCTTTTTATTAATCCAGCATATAGTCCTTTGCTTGGCACAGCGTTCAGTAATTCAGACTGTGATTTACAGTGTTGCAAACGTGGAGTGTGCCTGCACAGGCAGAATACTGGCATCTCATTTTTATTAGGATGACGTGTCTTGGGAAAGTATATCCGTCAAGCTGTGTGTCTTGTGGCTCAGCCAAAACAGCTTTGGCAAAGAAGTCAGAAAGAGTAACTGGGAACTCTACAATTCTTTAAAGTCCTTACACCACAGACATAGTTCACTTGCTACATATTCTAAAATGGAATATTTGTGTTCACCTGAAGAAGAGATGGGATGGTGTCCATGTTTCTGTGAAATCATATATATGTTTGCTGGTCAAATTACCGAAAAAGGTCATGAAAGCATTTWTGGTTTTTCTCCTTTCTAGGCATAAGAGTTTCAGTTTGGTTTAGGTGATCTGGTACTTTATTCTGGTGAGGAATAGTCTTTTGATAGCACTACTTGTTCTGTTTCAGTATGGCTTCATAAAATAAATTTATGCTTGCTCCATGGATCCATCACTGCTGCATCTATCACTAGGGATGCTGGAGCTTAACTCCTGCCAGAAGAAACTATCTGAGGCCTGGGGCCTCTATAGGGTAACAGAAAAAGTTGCTTCTACAGGGTTAGCAGTTTTCATTTTTGGAGATCTGGGGAGGGGGAAAGAGATGTGACCTCCTCCAGATGAGTTGCCAGAATTCAGGAAGCAACACTGGTCTRTTGTCTGGAGCGTGCTGGGCTGGTTGGACACTGACCTGTGCTGGTCTTGGAGAGGGGAAAGATGGACTGAGTGTTACCTATGTTTGAGAAAGGGAGTTTGAATTGGGGAATTCTGGCTCAGAATGAGGCAATTCATGKCTGTCTGCTGGAGAAGCAATATCTTGTGTTTCCCCTTGCCTCTCCAACCCTGTGTGCTGCTGTCCTCCATTGCCATTACGTTTTTTTTGTGCCGGGGGGCAGGAAAGGAGAAAGAGAAAAAAGGATGCTGAGYAACTGTGTCTGAACTGGGGAGAAGAGGTATGTATTTTATCCTTAGGGATGTTGGGGAGTGCAGGGAAAAAGCTTGAGAATTGTTGTACTGAGCTAAATTACGTAGCAAAAAAAGAAGATCCTTTCCATTTGTGCTGTTCATCCTAAGATATCCAGAACTCTTTGGCAGCAGTGGATCCATACTTAGCTTTTTGTTATAGCTGCTAAATTCCTCACAGTTCTCTGGTATTATTCTTCCCCAGGCAGGAAGACTAGTTTAATTTTTTTTTTTTAATCTTTATTCTGTGTTTGAATTTGTTCAGGCTTAACCCACTTCTGAACATTTGATCTGACTTCTGCATCTCCAGGCATTATCACAAATGCATGTTATAACAACCATAGCAATCCAAAAGTAAATCCAATACTTTAGATACCTTTTATGTGGAACTTTAGCATATTTTTGCATACAGCTAAGACTGGGACTTTTTCATTTTCTTGAAGCCCTATTCCACCTCTGGGAAAGGCAATTTGTCTTTAACTGTTTATATAAGAGGTGGAGAAAATATAAGAAATGCACATGGGCTTATGGAGAGTTGGATAATACCTTGAGAGACTCCCAGAATGGATTTCCTGCATTTAAAATTGTGCTGTTCAGGTAATACATTAAAAACAGGTATGCACTTTAGTGGACAAACATTTGGAATTCACTGCAGTTCTTTTCAAGACAGTTCTTCTTTGGAAGACATGGTGTCTGCTTGGAAATTTTGGTGTCTTTTTTTATAAAAGGAGAATTCCTATTGAGAGTTACTCTTCTGTCTGTAATAATAATGTTTCTTATGGGACACAGAGAATCAGGTCTCTGTGTATARTCTGTAAAGGACCAGTGATTGTAAAGAACTGGCCTCTTTGAAACAGCAAGCCAGTCTTTGCAGGTGCATTGGTGAAAAYAAATAATGTAAGAAAACTTCTATAAATACTTCTCTGTGATGTGTAAGATTATAGATGTTTAGATAAATATTTGCAAGATGAGAGCCTGAAAAAGAAAATAAATTCTATTGAAAACCCTAAAAGGAAGGGGAAAGTATAKTCTAGTGAAAGAAATTTTCATGATTTAATGCAAACTTTGTTTTTTTGCAGAGGCAGCTGGATTGTAACTTGCACTTACAGAGTCAGCAACTGGAAAAATGCGAGATTCTGGAAGTAAWTTGATGTTTTCACATAAAGATGTTATAAAGGGTACTTCAGACTTGAGTGAAATGAAAATTTCAGATGAAAAAGTATCTGTTAAAAAAAGAACAGTGACTCAGATTTGGAATAATGGCTATCCCGACTCCATATACCTAAATGCAGCTAAGATTTTTCAAAGCATTCATATTGAAAAGAGTAAGGATGAAGCACARGTGCGGTACGCTGACAGCTCGGAATTTCCCATGATGGCTTTTAAAGATGAGCATTCTCAGCGGATATCTTATGAACTGGCTTTCAATGCTCTAAAATGTAAGTACAAAACCTTCCCAAGAATTGCCAACAGAAATGATGCAGAAACATGGAAAAACCAAATATTCAGTGGTTGTCTGACAGCAGAGATCTGAGGAAATTTTTGTTAAACTGCAAGTTATACAGAATCACAGATTCACAGAATATTCTGAACTGGAAGGCACCTACAAGGATCWTGGAGTCCAAGTCTTAACTGAATGGCCCATAAARGATTGAACCCACAACCTTGGTGTTATTAGCACCCTGCTCTGACCAGCTGAGCTCATCTCAATGGTTCTTTTTGGATTCTAATTATGGATGAATATTTACATTTACTAGAATACTCATATCCCTCAAATATTTAAATATAGCTAAGTGTTATTAGCATTTRTGAAGTCAAACATTTGAACTCTACACTTTTTCATGTAAAGGAATTAGAGTTGCTACTGTTGGGATGGAATTTGTCCTCAATTTTCATGATGTTTAAAATTACAGTTTAGTGACTTGTAAGATTTACTTTCATATGATCTTGTAGATCATGGCATAACTTGTCAATGTTTTCTGGTTTTTACAGATCAAGATCTCCTTGAAAAAATATTGTTAGATAGTGGTGCTTACCCATGCTATTCAATAGTAAGTGAACATATTTGTGAGGAATTTTTGTTTTCTGTGTTGATGTAATTACTATCTTTTCTGAGGATTCTGCAACATTCTTYAAAACCTTTGTTGTTTTGAACTACATGATAGCCTGGACTGAAATATTGCTGACCTTTTTAAATAGTTGTCTAAAGCATCTCTCTCCARAGTATGTGGTGAGATTCTGTTGCACCTTGCTGCTGGGAATCCAAACCTTCAAAGAAAGAGGGCAGGAGAGTGAGCCATCAACTTAATTGTAGCATAGCTCTTTCCCAGTGATTTTGTCCATGTCCATGTGCTTTCCTTCCCAACTGTGTTCTCTTGTGAGCAGGGAAAAAAATGTTTCCTTTCCTGTCCTTGGGAAATTGGAAAACATGAAGTGAATTCCATCAGACAAAAAAATGCGTTGACCCCATGTTTCATTTCCTGGGCAAATGGTACTGTATACAAATATTGTACTGTCGAAAACTAGTCCAGTTTACTCTCTAATCATGCTTTTGTGCTTTGACATGAAAACAAATTCTAGAGCAGGCCGAATTTTCTGCTGTTCYTTATAGTTCTGTCTTTGATGCCATTGGAAATTGCAAGATGAACTTGAACTGATACCTCCATGTTTGTGGAGGTTGATGTGAGCAGGCAAATGATCTAACACATTTATCCTTGCCTTGTTTTTATAAGGAAGTAAGACTTACGTRCTAACGTTTTGTGTTTGGTGGTATTTCCCTAATCACTTGAGTTTTCTAACTAATTTTGGTCATATTTGCGAGAAGGTGAGAATTTTAGAAGGCATAATAACTGTAGGAATTTCATGAAAAGAGGTACACAATAATAACTGAAGTGCAGTAATTATTGCCCTTAAGCAGGAGATGCTCCTAGGTTTAAACACTTAACATGGAGAAARGAGATTTTATGTATATCCCAAAAGCAGAAGGGTTATTATAATTGAGTGTATCAGTTGCTACATATGGAAGAATCCCACAAGAGAGGACTTGATAGCCAAGAAGATATGGCTAGCTTAGCTCCTTAACAAACTACTTTATGAAGGGAAAATAATTCCAGAGTTTCAGTTCTGGTAACATTAGAAGTCATTAAGATACAGTATTTTATCTGTTTGCATGGAGAATGTTTTTAATTTTCATAATTTAAATTACATATAAGTTGTTTATTTGAGTTCTAAAAAAAATCTTCAGTGTTTTATTAACTCTCCACAAGGAATTACTTTCATATTTTTACAAGTAAGCATTTAAGAGTTTTTAATTACTTTTACATGGGAGACTGCTGTTTGATATGGATCTTTTTGCAGAAGAAAGGCATGCTTTGGGTCACTTTCTCTATCCAGTTGCTTTTCTCTTGCAGCCAGATGAGTTAACCAGCTTGCTTGTTGTGATGCTTTATGACCTACAAGACCGAAAGTTTCAAAAACGAATTATTTTTGATGAAGAGGAAATTGTAGCAGACGTTCAGGAAGTAGGACTTTATTTATACAGGTATGTGTGCAAAGAGCTATTTTTTGTTGATACATATTAGCAAAAATGAAGATTTTTGTATAATCAACGCCTTCTAAAAGTAATTATTAAACATGTCTTTCATCTTTAAATTTTGTGGGTTTTTTTTAACAAGAGCCTACTTTGAAGGCCAACTTTCATATTTATATAGTTATGAAAAATACAGATTAGAAACCATCCTTATATTGTGGATTATTTTGCTGACATCTTATTTTGGCATTTTGAAATATTTTCCATGCAATTCTAGGAGAGAAATTAAATATGCAGTAAATGTTCATAAATACAAGTGTAATAGAATCGAAAGGTCTTGGAATGGAATAACATCCATCTATTTGGCAGCACTTTTTCTATGGACCTTCGTTGAATATTTATTATTTAAGTTAATCAGAACAAAAACACAGGATACATAAAAGATACATTTTAATATGTATTACTTCTTTCATCAGTCAGTGGATGATCTCAAAAGGCATTTACTAGACAAAATTGCATTGCTGCTGGATTTAGAATGACCCAAAAAGTTAATTAATCTTTTAAAGTATTAAGCAAGGTATTTCTGCAGGGCAGTAAGTAATATACCTGAAGTAGTTCACCAGCTATTTTTATTTACTTTTAATTATCATGTATTAAGAGTATGCATGAAGCTTGTGGGAAGAAAATACTGGGAATATTTTCTCTGACATTTTCATGTAATTAATARTAAAAGTGACTTCTAGTTGCCATCATACTTGTATTGTTTCTGTACATGTTTAGAGGTCACTTTTCATCAAAATCTCAYTCTCCACTTATGTGTATTTATATTTTCAAACATGCAAATGAATCTGACGGTTGTGTTCCATACTGCAGTTCTGGAACATATTGTTTTTTTTTTTAGCTGTCTGAGGAAATGTATTTGAGAGTCACCTATCTTAATTCCAGTCCCACCTGCATTTAAATAAAATAATTTTACCTATTGACTATACCTTGCTTCTACTGTTGTCTGGGGTAGACAGTGTTCTATAACTGTTTTCTGTTGCAGCTTGCAGAATGACGTGTCCCTTTTGGATTTGGTTTCTGAGCAAGATGATATTTTAACAGAAATGTTGCATGCTAATAGCTGATGAAAACATTTGTAAAACTTACTAAATTTGTGACTGTGTTTTTATAGTTGTAAGACCAAATTGGCAGCTGCACTAGCACGATGTCGCATCAAATATGATGCTCTTTCAATTGAATACTTTTTACCAGAAACCATATGCAAGCAGGAACAAAGGACTTCTGCTTTACCTGTCTCTGCTTGGATAAACACTTGTAAAATCAGGTAAGGTCTTTAAAGTGTCATTTGATATTGAAGTTTTTACATATCAAGTGATATAGTTTGCTACATACTTGTTTTAGAATTTCCAGGTTATATTATTACCAGTGATTTAAAACTCTTACAGGAAATTCTGCTTAGTCCAGTGCCACTGTGGGTTTTTTTTGGTAGTTTTTATATATTGCAGTAGTGGTATTTATACACTGTAAACAGGTTTTGAAACAGTTCTTCTTACTGTTCTGTTGCTTATATGGGTCTTCCACCAAATAAATGAGGAAATAAAGTTAGAAAAAAATAAGGGTGAGTTAACTTGGTGACTAAAAAGAAGAGAAAAYGTCTTTAAAAGTAGGTGTATTAGTGTAAACCATATTCTTGGCAAAGAGTGTTAAGATGAAATACTTAACCCTGCTGTTTATTCTGTAAGGATAATGTAAACTTGAAATTAAAATATGCTTTAAAAATTCTTAAATTCTGTAGACTACTAAATATGTAACAGTGGTGTTCCCAGTTCTGTACTAAMTGATACATGAACCATACCACATTCTCCTGTTACTTGTTTTGTTAGACAGGTAATCCATTTTAGAATGTTTTCCAGAGTTTTGTTTTACTACTCTTGTCTTGGATCAATGTTTGATGATTAGGTTATAGGCTSTTCAAAATAATGTGTCTTACTTTGGTTGTGACTTTGGAATCTTTAAATAAGACTGAAATAAAAGCTCCTGCATTCATCTCACTTAATGTACCATATAACTTATGGTGCTGTCTGAAATAGCATTTTAACAAGTCTTGCTATATATACCCTTAAATCTTTACGATATTTGAATTGCTAACCTCAGCAGTTAGGCCTTCATTACATTTACACAGGGATTCTTTCAGTTATCAGCCAAGAAAATCATAGGTGAGTTGGGCTAAATTGAAARCAATTGAAAGAACTAAAGCATTCCAGCAGTAAATTTACTACAGTGTCTCCTAAGCACATGGACATTGCTGTTTTGATGCTTTGAATCATCCTCTGGAGACACATACCTCTTTCTTCATTTATTTTATCAGACTTATTAACRTAATTGTTTCAAACCAGAACATGTGCCTAAAGCAGAGTAAGTTTCCCTCCTGCATTAGATAGTATGGCATTTTATAACTATGTATATGTACTTACAAGTAAAAAATTCATATAATCAATGTAAACTATGTTGCTTAAGTAACACTTGTATATTTAATGGTCAGAGTTGTATGTTAACAGCATTGAAGATGTTATCAGAGATTTGGAGATGAAGGGATTCAAGAAGGTTGAATCTGTGTCAGACTTTGACCATTATACTTATGCTGTGGACCAACATTGCCCCGATGTATTGTTTTTTCCTTCCTCTCTTAAAGAAGAACTGCTTAATTTAGATCTTTTTGCAGATTACAAACTCCTATTGCAGGTGAGTTGATGTTCAGCCTTGAGTCACRTGATCTGCAAATTGAAGTAATTGCTTTGCATTAGAAAATAGGTATTGTGTGACTATTCTATTAAATGAGTAGGCAGCAATAAACTCTCAGAAGGTTTTGGACATTTTTGATAATTAGGTTACAAACTGATCCACGTACTAAATTTAGCATGCAAATATCAATGCTTATAATTGATAGCTGCAATTAAGTTAGTAGAATGTTTTAAATTTAATCTTAAGAGCTGTTGAACTAAAGATAAAAAGTGCTCAAAAGAGGCAGCCTMGCTTCTGAAAATATGAGGAAAGTTTTTATGTGACTCCATATGTTTTCCTCTAATTAGTAGATTGTGATATAACTGTTGTAGTATTTTTTCCTCCTCATGCATATTTGTGATGGAATGATCAAACTTCTTTGTATTTTGTATAATGTGGTTCCTAGATCTCTATAACTGCCACTGGTCTTTTTCCTGACTTGCCATCATTAGACTCCCCAGTCWAGTTTGGTGGGAGATTTCTGTTGTAGAGTGGTGTTTGCAGTAATCGTGCAACAACACAACCACAAATTACCTGAACTATCTGATGATTCTTGAGTGCCTAGCAGAAACATTTCAGCCAACATTTTCACTAGAAGCTTAGCACTGTCAAAAAACTTCCKCCGCAAAATTATTGCCCAACTTAAAAAGTGATTGAGTATTCAATATTCCATTTCACTGCATAGATTTTTAATAGAATACTTACAGAAAAGAACCGTACATGAGAGCCCCATAGGTAATGGGAACAAATTCTGAGTACTACTTCTTAAAAGTATTCAAAGTGAGTAAATAAAACCATCAAAACCTCACTTCATCTCTGTGGTCGGGTAGGATGGTGCTTGAATGCTGATCATAGACAATGATGTGAACTTAAAGGCTTAGCACTTTTCCTCCCCCTTTCCATTTATCATCAATTTGTCAGATTTGGTGCAAGATCTGGTACCTGTGATCAGTATCTTCACTCYTTGCCTTTTTAAGTAATTTGAAAAAGTTATCTCTTTATCACCAGTAGTACAAGAGCATTTACTTTTGTGGAGAGGTCCCTGTGTTTCCTGCATTCCAATTTGCTTCTCTGTTGTTAAGATTTCAGCAAAATCTTGATCTTTGACCTATGAGGGCATCTTTTCTCCTGTAMTTGTCATCAAGAGCTATGTGAATACTTTTGCATTTCTCTGTTAAGCTGCCTCTGAGGATGAATTATGCCCGAATTGTGGCTTGTGTTTGTCTTTTCTGGAACAGGCTGTTGCTAGGAGTTCCTCCTTATGGGAATGATATGGACTTTCTTTTCACCTCTAGATTTAATGCTTTTTAATGTATTATTTAGAATTATTTGAATTTATTGGGTGACTGCTTGGTTTTGTAGTTTATTTAATTCTGGATTAGCAGATATCCCTGATTAGTTTTTTCCTTCCTTAATTCCTGTTTGCTATGAAAACAATGTATTTGGAAAAAAAAGTTGGCATTCATAGAAACCAAAATAGTTGGTCATACTTAATTTTTGTGTCACTGTTTTGTAGGATAAGTCTCGCAGCCTTGCTGTACACTCTGCACAGGCGCTGTTGAATGAAGGTGGTGACGTTATTGTGGCTCACATAGGTTCCCATCTGACCATTGCCCATATGTCAGTGCTGACAAATCAAAGCATGTCCACAATTTTTGTTTGTGGTGTGAAATCTTCAGAAAAAGAAGAAGAACTGAGGAACAGTTTCAGTCAAATGGGATGTGAAAGTAGGTGCTAAAACAGTCGGTATGCAAAAAGTATTGTAACCCAGATGTTTGTAAATATGAACTAATTCYATCAGAATTAAGAGATCCCTTCTTTGGAGACTTGGGGGTGGCAGTAACAACTTTTCTTTTGTCACAAGGTGAGCTGATAACTCTTCAGCTACAGTCAAGTTAAGTGCAGTCTAACCAGATCATAGACGCAARCTCCTGAAATGTCAGATGAATTATTCCATAGAAGTAGCTACTGCATAGCAGTTGGTGTAGCTGTTAGCTGGGAACTTTTGTGTCTGTTTATGTGTTTTGGCTGTTGCTTCCAGTCTGATTTCCAGCTGTTTGAGAGTGTTAATCCCAAACACATACTTGTCCAGTTTGCAGGAGGATGCAATCAGGACAGAATGCAGCAAGACTGCAGCCCCATTAACTGTCTTTTCAGTGGCAGATGCAGGTCTAGCTAGCTCTTCAATCTGGTTGAAATCCATAGGCCATACTTTGGAATCTGGATCTAGCAGGCTCTACCTCTGTTGAATCTGTGTAACGCTACAGTCTCTTCACCAGTATTACCTGCAGGCAGGCTTGCTTGCAATCTRTAACTGTTGAGGTTTCCCTGTTTTTCAGATATTCAGTTGTTACCTGAAGATTTTACTGAGCTTGAACCAAAAGACTCAAGACTTCAAAAGGCAAAAGTTATTTTGCTGCTACCACAGTGCTCTGGACTGGGTGCTGGCAATCCAATGGAGTTTATTTTAAGTGAAAATAGAGGTAACTTTTGATACAGTATCTAGCTCATGCTTTCTGGTAGAAATAGATTCAAATATTGTGGTCTAGCCAGTGTATGAGCTTCAGTAAATTGCACAATTTTATTAAAAAAACCTTTCTTATTTTAATTACTATAAAACATAACATCAACTTGAATAATTMTGTGACTGCTTCAAGTTGATAGTATGTAAGATTGAGCAGAGTGTGTATTGCTTTTTTTAAAGCAAAAAGATTATAGCCTTCAAGATACCAATATGTATATAATTTTCCATTTGATTACTTTCTGTTAYTGGCTGTTTGTTTAAGTCCTTTCACTGTACAATTGTCGTTAACTAGATGCAAGGAAGAGGCACCAGTTACTACAGGTAAAGAAGTAAAGCAAATAAATCAAGCACTYCTTGGTATTCTAATTTGTAAAACTTACCTTCCCACTCCACCAGTAACAGCCAGGTCTGCTTCTGCAAACAGTTGTATTTTAAGACAGTAATRCAAGTTGCAAGGCTAAATTTACTACTCTCTGCTTTTAGATGCAGGACTGCTACGAGACATTTTCCAGGGATTTGTGCCTAAGGATAAACTCAGTATTCTTGCTGAGAGGCACCTTAATGAGTTGASTCATGCACTGAAATGTAAGTGTGCTAGTTCCCCAGGTTCTGTGAGACTTTGCAGCATCAATTCCATTGTACTATCACCAGTTTTTATATAGTTAAAAATATACTGATTACTCTTAATTAACAATAAGCATGTAACTGAACCCCCTGAATAATGATTTTCTCCTGTCTGAAGRTGTTTCTGTGTCCTACTGTCCACCAGACATTAATACAATAGTCTTCACTATTGTGTAGAGAACTGGCTTAAGGTTTAGTCACACTCTGCTTTGGAAATTCTGTGAATGTAATCTGACTCCATCTGCATGCTGCCACTTTTTCCCCCTCTCCTTCAGTAGCTCTGTGAAAAGAGTGCAGACAGCTTTGAATTTGTTCTGAAATCTGCAAATATTTGAAAATATTTTAATTATTTAAAAACATTAGAGATTGCATACTAATGCTTGCAGGGGGATATTTTTACTGGTAAAAKTGACATCATTTTTATGATGCTTTCRGTCCTTACCAAACCACTGTCTGTATGAAGAACCTGAAGAGTAAAACATTTGTTCTATTTTGTTTTGTAGTTAACAAAGTACAAGCTATTGTTTACAGCACTTGTTCAGTTTACCCAGAGGAAAATGAATTAGTAGTGAAAAAAGCACTGGAATGTGGAGTGGAGGGACGTAAAGGACGACCATATAGGTACAGAATGAGTAGTTTTATCTATGGAAAAATTAAAGTATGACTTCAAATTGTAGCATAATTCTTATCCTAGACTGCATGAAACTAAAATAGCTTTTGCTGCCTGTCATACCATTCTTTCTATTTATGAGAGTACTTAGCAGTATTCTGTTGACTTKTTAATCTAATTTTGTTCATCTGAAATTAAGGTGGGAGGAAAGCATCACTGGTTGGAAGTAACATTCTTCAGATAGAGCTATTGCTATTATTGTATCAGTATTCAGAGAATGAAACTAATTTAAGATCAAATGGAGACTAGAAGTSAGGTAACTTGTTAGCATGCTCTCAGCTTCTGATGTAGAATGATCCGCTTCAAAGGAAAAAGAAATTAAATCTTAAATTATAAGAATAATAACTAAGAATAAGAACCCTTGCTGTAGGATTGCTCATTGCTGTATTCAGATGAATTACTTGAGGGAAGGACAGGTTACAGTAAGAGAATATTCTGTGCAGTCATGGCAAATACAAATATATATGGAAAAGGTATGTATACTGTATATTACATTTATAGTTATGGCTTGTTAGCTGCCACCCCTGTCAGACAGAGGAACTGTTATTAGACTGATGAGTACTTTCTGGATTTTCCTTTTAGTCACAATAGATAAATGCAAACAGTTGGCACTCACTTGCACATAGATACAATAGTTGATTACAGGATGCATTAAAAGAAGCACAGAAGAGTAATACTATATTTTTAGATTTTATATTACCTTAGATGATGTTAATAACCTGGCTRTCAAAAGGAAAGGTACTGTCGCTCAAGAGATCATTCAGTGTAACTAAATTCTGCATTATTAAAATGGTAAATGTTATCTGTGGCCAATCCAAAGAATATTTAAAAGTTCTATGTTGTTCATAAGACACTGCAACAAAATGTATGTTTCTCAAAATTCACTGATAGAAAATAGCAGCCTACTTGATTTTTTTATACTAAGTGGGATGAAATCAGGGTATGTCTTGCTAATGATGCTATRCTAGACCAAAAGCATTTATGGACTCTTGCTGTAAACTGTGTTTTCCCTTGGAATTTGAAGTTTTCTGGAGAAATTTTCTGTCTTAACCTCTGTGTAGCTATTACTCTATGGTGAGAACTTGGGGCATCTTGGAATGTAATGATCTCCAAATTAATTGAACATAAATAATACATAAATTCATAACATGTAAAAGAATTTTTATTTTAAAAAAGTTCCCGGAACTTTAATTATTTTATAAAACACTCCCCCTTGTGTAAAACACCTCCCTTCGCTGCTAAGCCAAACCAAAATCTGTTCACTATTTTGCAGAAGCATGATGAATCTTATCAGACTACYAAATCATACTTCCAAAAAGGCAATCTTGGGTGGTAAGAAAAGGACAATAAAATTACATTAGKATTTTTTTCAGACTTTAGAAAATTTGTGACTGAAGATTGAGCTTCATAAAYGACCATTTCAGATTAAAGTTTCTCATTCACTGTCATGCATCTTGTGTGTTTCATCATAGTCTTTGCTACAATAARRCTGCTGGTAACCAGCATAAACAGAGCAGTAATAGAACACCATAAATAATATAGARTGAGTATGCTTAAGATGAAAGCTCAAGCCATTTAAGATGCATGTACTACTTACAAAAATTCCTTTTACACCTTCCTTAGAGAACTTAATTGACTAAGTGCAGTATAGAATGAAAAACTGTTGCAGAGTTACTAGTCCCCATGTTCACAGTAGTGTTTYTGAGAGACAAGTCATAATAAAACATCTTGTATGATCATCACAGATCTACTGAATATTAATTCCCTTCTCCAMGAAAATGGAGGGCTTTCAGGAAACTCTTACAACAGTTGTGCTTATGTGCATTTTATCTTTTTGGAATTCCTCTGCAGTACTGAAGTGGTGCCGAATGAAATATGGCTCTGTTGGAGTTTGGRGTCACACGATCTTAGGGCTGTGCAGCTGTAAGAGTGATTTCAAATATGTATGCACTGGCTAAGCTGAGGTTACCTTCAGGATATGACAGTTTATAGCAGAGGCTTTGCCTAAAGTAAGAGTATATATGGCAAACAGGTGCCACTCGTGCATTTCTCTTTCACCTATCAAATTTGAATTAATTTCTGCATCATTTTTCAGGGTCATTGAAGGATTCCTGGTGAACAGTAATTTGTATATGTCAATAAAAGATTAACTCTGGTTTTTGTTTTTTTTTTTGCATTGAATAAGCTGATATAAAATAAAAAATCCATGTCTTAAGACATAAGAGTTCTATTTAATAATGTGAGGAGGATGTGAGCCATGTAGCCTGTTTTATCAAATTCCAAGGAATAAAAAAAATAATCCAGATTATGGTGAGAGCTTGGAAAAAAAGAGATTTGCAGACTTCCCAGTAAAAATGAATTAGCCAGCCAAATCAGGATATTGCTTTCAAATATTGAATACATTTCTCTGTAACCATCTTTGAATAAAGCTCTGTTGCAAGAGAGTCAGTGGAGCATTAAGGAGTAGGACTCTATCTTACACTTGTCAGTGAAGAGGAGGGGGTTGTAAATGCAAAAGGACTCAATAGTGCTTTTCTGTAGTGAGACAGCTTATGAGCCAAGTCCTTGAGACTGCTTTATAACAACCAGGCATTCCTGGAATACAAAGTAAACATGRGAAGAGGCCTGTTCTTCCCTCCCCACTGATGCACTGCAAAACTGTAAAATTGGAGAAACAGAACTCAATTATTGCAAATAGCAAACTTTGCTAACGTAAGATGTTCGGCTTAGATAAATATACTGTTCATTATGAGTGTATATTATTAAGTCAAATAAGACTCAAAGTCAACACCTCTACAATTTCTGCAAGCTGCTTAGGGTTTTCAGATCATYCCCTGGCTTCATGGACAATTTGATAACTCAGTAATTGCACACCTGAGAAAGAACATAGTTTTTCATTGTCTTAATACATATTTATTATCTGGTGATTAATATACTTAATAATTGTAAAAAAAAAGAGAAATATTGAAAAAAATTGAGCCCCCTCAAATAATTCTAAAAAGATGAATTCTCATGCCTTTCTTGAYGTGCCATTTTTAGAAATGCAGATAAAGCTCTGTTACTGAAAGACATAATTTGAAAATTATGTTTAATGTATCCTTGTTTATTTCCTTTTATATGCTTAAATATTATTTCTGGTCTTTCATTTATTTTTTGCAGGCTTATTCCTTCTGTATTTTCTACTTGCTCCAAATCACAGGCTTCCACTGAAACGTTTTTCAAAATGGAGCCATCAAAAATTTCCAGTGGTTGTTTTCTAGCTGTTCTAGAGAGAGAGGTAAGCTACAAAAATTACCTTTTAAAATCACTGAAGATGAATACTGCCATTTTCCACAAAAGAATAAATTAAATGGAACATTTAAAATAAAATTCCTGGTTGCTTTTTAGTTGTCTTAAGACCAAAGGACAGGTGAGCTGAAATGTGCCACTTCTTGAGTTTTATGCTGAGCAGTGCTTTACGAGGTGCCTGTTCTTCTGGAGCTGTTCATGATCAGAGCAGGCCCTTGATCCAAGTCAGTGCCAGCAACATTTAGAGGAAATACATTGCTGTTACCACACTTTGTAATGAAATACACAGCTTGATTAGAGTCATGATAAATAGTGTCTACTCAATGTACTTGTTATATGTGTCACCAAGATYTTCCAGTATCCAGGGAGATGAAATCTTAATCCCTATGGATGACACTATTATAATTTGAATAAAATAGATACGAATATGTTTCCTTCCCAAACTAAGGCATATGCAAATCTGGCTTGAAAGGCAGGGGCTTTTGGTGAGTAAATGAAGAAGTCTTGGCATGATTCCTGAGGAAAGACCTTAAAGGGCTAGTTTGCATCTCTGAGCATCATTTTCCTCTTGTGTCTGAGAAAAACATAGATTTTTATTCCACCAAAAGAGGAAGGGGTGTGAGGGGGGACTAATTAGAATTTCATTGCAAATTAAAGATAGGAGCTCTTACTGGGTTATTTACACCATTTTCTGTCATACTGCAATYACAGTGCTTGAAAGAAGCTTGGTTCGTGGGGGAAGTTAGAAGATTTTATTAAGAGAATCACATATGAAAAGCCTTTCAGTTACCTACTATTGACGCCTTTCTTTACAATATTAAATATTTTTAACTTGGTCTGAGTTTTAGTTACTCATGCTATGTGTATATCTCTACCATATTGTCTCTCTCCAGAGAAACAAGCACTTTTGTTTCAGGTAGTTAATCCAAGTAATTTTTTGAGGTCAGATTCTAAYACAAAGAAGCAATTGCTCTTATAGCCAATGTTTAGGTGATTCAGAAAATGAACATTTTCTGCAAGGTAGAAAAYGTGTACTTACAATTAAAACTGAAATTCCTAGTTTACAGAAACCTTCTTCTTAGCCAGTTGTAAATARTTTCTTCTCCATTGTTTCTCTTTATATATTTGGATGTTGACCTGGTTCCTCATTAATGTAGTTTGAGAGTTCCTTACTTACAAGTTATGAGCAAGAATTTTCATTACTGTGAAAATTATTCATGTTTAATGTTACTGATATTTMTGTGTTTTAGTACATTTGCGATACACACACATACATAATGGATATGTGAATTCTTACAGACACATTAAAGAGCAGGTCAGTTTGAGAGTGTGCTACTTTTGGCTGTGGTGGAGTCTATTTTGCTCACAGTGGCTGGCGTGGGCCTGTATTTTGGATTTGTGCTGAACACAAGGTTGATAGTAGAGATGTTTTTGTTATTGCTGAGCAGGGCTTACACACAGCCAAAGCTTTTTCTGCTTGTCWTACTACCATGCTGGTGAGAAGAGTGGGGTAGCAGGGGAGGGTKGGAGGAGACGCAGCCAGGACAGGTGACCCCAACTGACCAGAGGGATGTTCCAAACTATATGACATTGTGCTCAGTGTATAAAGTAGGAGTAGGAGGAGGATGGGGGGACATTTACAGTTACGGCACTTGTCTTCCCAAGCAACCACTTTCTTTATCTCAACTCAGGAGTTCCCGACTTTACTCTTCCAGTTCTTTACCTGATCCTGCTGGTGGGGGAGTGAGTGAGCAGCTGCATGGGGCTTGGCAACCAGCTGGGGTTAAACCACAAATCAGACACACATTATAGAGCCCAGAATTGAGCTTCCTCTCTTTGGGTTGGTAGAAAAGGAAGTCTCTGAAGAGAAAATGCTCCACTACCTCTTTACACAAGTCAGGTTCTTAATTTTGTGAATAAATAGTTTTGGTTAGCATTTATCACATGTRACTTAAGTCCTTCTGCAAGATTCTGCCATGGTTTTCTCGTGGAGTAAATGCTGAGCAGCTCTGTGTTGAGGCTTAGATTCATTGTTGTTTTCTGTGAAATTTTCAGAAAGCTTTTAAACAAGTGCCTTCTGAAGACATTCTGGCTTCTGCTGAAGCAGAAGGACAACTAGATGGCATTGTTGAAGAAAAACCRAAAGAAGAGGTGAAAAAAGAGAAAGTAAAACAACGTAGACGTAAGGTTAGTGCTAGCGATAGTAAGCCAAAAGCTGCAAAGATCCTTCGCCAAACTGGACCTAATGTTAAGGCTGAAGTTTCTGTGTCTAAAGCAGCCGGTAACATACAAGAAAAGGATGTGGGCCGAAAGAAAGCAGCCAGTAACATGTCACAGAAAAAGGGGCGCCGAAAGAAACCAGCCAGTAACATACATGAAAAGGATGTGGGCCAGACAAAAGCGGCCAGTAACACACAACAAAAAAAGGTGCATCGAAAAAAAGCAGCCAGTACCGTACCCCAGAAGAATGTGACCCAAACAAAAGCAGCCAGTAACATACAAAAAAAGAATGTGCAACAAAAAAAATCAGCCAGTAACACACAGCAGAAGAATGTGCCCCAAAGAAAAGCAGCCAGTAACATACAGCAGAAGAACACGCACAAAAAAAAGTAGTCAGCAACACACAACAAAGGAAGTGCATCAAACAAAAGCAGTCCGTAATGCATGTCTAAAGAAGTCAGTAATGCATCTGTGCCTAAAGCAGACAGTAACATACAACAAAAGAATGCCCTGAAYAGTCATGTTCAGCAGAAGGCATCAGTGAACGCCAATTTGCCCACAGCCCCCCTAAAAGTGCTGAACTGCCCATCTCATCTGTCTCCTTGGAGCAAGATGAATGAGAGATGGACACCTGCTCAAAAGGCATGGCAGAACAGAAGTGTTGTACTGAAGCCCCCCGCAGTCACGGTGCCTCCTGTGAGAAGACCACGTAAAAGTTTGTGAGGAAACAAATGCAGAGCATCAACTTAACATTGCTTTCATGATCAGAGTGCTCCAGGTGGTTGGAACCCCCCCCGGTCAAAAATGGTCAAACCAACCTGGCTATATGAAGCTTCAGACTTTGCCCTTCCTTTGTAGAAAAGGTAAAGATGCCTGTATATTAATGAATACTCTTACATTACAGTATATCTTTATGCAAGGATAATCTGGCTGTGGGTAAGAAATATTATGGACTACTTGTATAGAAATATCCACATTAGATAGTAAATTTTAATCCAGTAATCACACTTTAAAGTGAATGTAGCTCAGCTGCCCAAGGCTGATAGACTGTTGGGGCAAGTGAGGTCAAAAAACTATACCCTCTTGCTATATACTTTAAAGTGACAAGTTAAATCATATACCCAACCCTCACCATGATCTAAACCTTTACAAGTAATCAATTTCAAATTGATGTTTTTAAAGTGAGACAGATTTTTTTAAAGTGTTTTTTTTTCTACAAGTGGTAGATACTATTTTTGTGAGTTTCCACTTAAGACTGATGCATGGAAAATAAACCTTTCACAGTAAGCCTGTCACATTTATTTCTAAAACTAGATGTGAACTTTTGTACAGCGGATTGGCCAAGAGCATTAAAGCCCATGCATAGGCTTTCTAGTATGCAATCTCTTGGTTTCTACTCAAGTGTGTGTTGAAATATCAACAGTGAAAAATAGATAAAATATTCTCAKGCTAAAAACACTGAATTGTCATCATAGTGTCACATCAGACTATATCATGTTTCATAACTGCTTTTCATCAATTTCTTAACATAAAYAGTTCTTAGTTGAAAAGAGTTGCTACTGTCAAAGCAACTTATTTTTACAGATGTTACTGCTAGTCAGCTGAATAACAACTGGACAAAGAGTTGTTGCCTGTCTTTGGAAACAGCCATGGACTTCTAAGTTGCTCTCTTGCTAGCAAAGATAAAATAATTGTAAAATATCTAAAATTGTCTTGTAATCTGAGCAGAGGACAAAGGGAGTCATAGAGATACATYTGGCAATAATCTGATTTGTATTTCGAACTTGTAAAACTGAAATGGAGACAGCAGGCAATACAGAAAGGCAAAGGTAGCTGTGGCACAGCAGAAAAATTTTCCTCTAGGCAACCATTTCAGATACTTGGCAAGAGTGTTGCCAGGAGCATCATCGATACAAGGTGGAATTTAACTGATTTGACATATGGGTCTGGATTTAGACCCATCCAGAGAAGATGTTAAAACATCTGTTTGTTCTTCACCCACACCAGTCTGTGTCACTGGATCAGCAGTATCTTTTTCAGAAAGGACATGAATGATATTCCASCAGCAGTGTGGACAGATGGCTCTTGATCATCAGATAAATATCCTTGCTTCACTGAATCAGTGAAAATTCTTTCAGCATTTTGATCTGAGCCAGCTGTCCTACACAGACATCCCTCACCTTCTCCATATCCCTGTGAGCAATCCATGCTCCTTACCCATTCCAGTAACATGGTTAACTCTACTCTTATTTCTGAACAAACCTGTAAGGATAGATTTAGACCCGTACACATGCCATGTGTAGAACCAGAAAAAAAAATTCCTTTATTTCAAAATCATCTAGGAGGAGAGATTCTACGTTGCCTAGAAGGAATGGACACTAAGGATATTTTATTTTCGCAGTAYGGTTGTTAAATGCTTAAAATAAACTTAAGAGATTCTGCAGTTAGAGAAAAATTTAAAAAAAAATCAAGATCCGTATCATTTATTATTAAAGTTAAAATTACTTGTGAAACAACATATATGTGTCTAATAATAGAATTTGTGGGCTACTTACATAATATGTGCCATGRTGTCCCACAGTTGGCCTTGTCTTATTTTCAGGAATTTACATTATTTACACCATATGGAGGTTWAAACCAGTTAGAATCTTGATGTCTTACCAAGAATATCAGTGAATATTTCAACTGCAGGTCAGCAGCTTACTTTGTAAGCATGGAACATCACATGGTGGCAACATCTGGGACTGACTTCAGATGGCTTGTAGGTAAATGCATATAGCACTCAATTACTTTTTACAGTAAAACTGTATCTTATGTAACTATTTTTCTGTATTCCAGTTGTCTATTTGTAATTTTCAACTAGAAACTGTTCATTCAGCTTTCYACATTCAAGTCTTCATTGTATTGCTATTGTCTCTAAACCACCAATATGTTTTTCCCTCCCTCAGCCACCATTTTGAACAAAATAAATTCGCAGTTTCATGGAGCAGTAACAGTTGAGACAATCACTTTATGCAGCTAAATTTATTCTCAGAACAGATTACATTTAAATGTGGAGAAGTGGTCAACAGCAGGGAAAACTGTCCTTTTCACTGTCAGTCAGGTATTTTTATGTGAGACTGGGGTCTGCTAATAAACAGTGGTGTGTCTCCTTCTTTCTTWCTGCTTTTAAATCGAACCTGCATTGGCTGACGGGACAGCATACGTTGTAGCAATGTGTTAATTTACAYGGCCAAGAGAGGAGTAATGCATTCAATGGTAATGCTGAAATGCTGAGCCCATACTGGCTCTTGAAATGAGAATGTTCTTTTTTCCATGGGAGATGTAGATCACCCATGAAAAAAATGATCCCATGGTAAATGATTTTTTAGATTCCATGGTAAATGATCCATGAAATGCTTCATAAAATTACGAAATGTAAACTTCATGACAGAGAACTGGCCTAAGCTAGTAGATAGTCCATAATATTTGTTCCTCTGTCATGAAAGGGTATATTATTTCTGTAGGTACAGATGACTCTGCACAGGAAGTGTATCACCAAACCTCATTTTACTGTGAATGGATTTTATACCATTCCATGCTATTTTTGTTATTCCTAGTTAAACACCCTGTGTAGGTGACCTCTGTAGCCTTGTACCTCRCACACTTCCTTGCTCCCCTTTAAATGAAACAGTAAGTGGCTTAAATAAAACCTACAACCAGGACTACAGATTCCAAAAGAAAGGCCTTTATCTGTTAGTCATTGACTGTGAATATAAATCTCCTTGCTTCTGCAAGGGAGTGTGTTAATGACATGACTGACTGGCACGTGATACTTACCTCTAACTTAATACTTGCATTAAAAAAAAAGAAGAAATTAGCTTTGTTTTACATGATTCTTCTACAGACTTCAATAAAAATGTGACTACAAATAATTACAAAGCCTGCCTTTTTTTAGGCAACCTATAGTATACAGAGTGGAGAATGTTACAAGAGTACATCCAGTAAAGACAATACATCAACATAATAATGCAGGATATTTCAGTAAAAATAGAATAAATAAAATAAAAATATTTAAGCTGTATTTAACAAGTTAAGTTAGAATATGGCATCAGACATACAAGGCATAGTGAACATGGCTGCAGGCCTACAGAATCACTAGGTATTATAAAAAATGCATAGATAACTGAAGGGTTGCTGTAACATCAACTAGAACAGTTTGCACTTGCTCAATCACACACACTCCATACATACTCTTTTGGCTATAGTAAAAGAGTGTCTGAATATATCTTTAAACAAAAGAAAACAGGCTTTGCAATATTAGGCTCTGATTCTGCAAACACCTGGGTCTATCTTAAATTTTTTTGAGAATAAGGAGCTCTACTGAAGCAAAAAGGCCACATATAGTCAGATCCTCAAGCACACTACATAAATATTTGTAAAATCAACAACATTTTGTTAACAGATATAAACCTCTTAAAACACATACTGGCAGGTGATGTACAGCTTTTCAAATACCTTTCTGTCTTCTCAGCCCTTCCTGCAGCTGCATACATTGCTAATGAAAGATAACCAGATAGATGTCATAGCCTTGACAACACAGATGTAGAACCTTTACACTGCTGTTTGCTAAGTGCTGGTTTAGTTAAAGAGTCTGGATCTCTCTTGGGGAGAATCAGCACTGCAGATGCAATGACAAAATTTAATTATACTGTTTAAAATTAATTCACTGCTGTACAACAGTTGCCAATCCAAATCACGGTGCTGTTTGCTGGAAGTTGAAAAGACACTGCCAAAGTATTTAATTTAAAATAAAATAAAATGTGAATCACCAGCACAATGATGAACAAAGAAACTTCTCTTAACTTCACAATCCTACCTAAGGGTACGGTGTTAGCCACCACAGTTTAAGAGCAGTCATTCCTGGRAATGTTCAAGGCCAGTTGGATAGGCAACTTCATCTASTGAAAAGTACCCCCCTGACAGGRGTTTGGAACTAGATGACCTTATAASGTCTCTTCCAAACCAAGCAGTTCTGTGCTTCTCTGATAGAAAATGAGTTTTCACACTGCTCCTAACAGAGGTGACTGGGATCAACACTGTAAACTATAGAAGCTATATGCAAGCTGCCATCCCTATGCTTTGTGATCTGGCTCCATGGTCAGTTAAACCACTGGTACTGCTAAAGGGTGTGGGTTTGTCTGCATCCCCTCCSCTCCAGCTCTCCCTGTGTACTCAGCATAAGCAGCTTCTCCAGCTGTACAGGCAGTTGAGGCGGTGCAAAGGAGGTGGCAAGAGCGTGAGGCTTGAAAGGGTAAACAGTTGCTTCAGTGCCTGAGGTGCAGAATCATGGTCATGAAGAGATCTGAAATCCGTAGAGGATCAGCTCTTCAGAGGGTACTGTAGAAAGCTAAATTTAGTTACAGTAGTTGCATAGCCAGCTTTCACCTGRAACTTGCTCATATATCATGCAGAGTTTAGTAATGATTTTTCTGCATTTTTCAATGCAGAAATTTCTTGAATCATCATTCTTTTCCTGTTGTGTTCGCAAGTTAGTCTTACAGCCAGGTGTTCTCATTAATTTTTTCAACCAAGGAAATAAAAAAGAAAATAGTTTGTTTATAACCGTCTCTTGCATAGTAAAATAAAAAAAGAGTTACCGTAACAGCAGCTTTGCCAGTGCTCCTTTATCATTTGAGTGTGACAAGATTTGCAGACTTGGGAGACAATTATAGTTTGGAACCTAGCTATAAATAGAGGCAAAACATTTTTAACACTAGTTAAACATATTTAATGTTTCATTTCCAAAATTTGTACCAATCTGCAGGTTTAGACACAAGATGGAAAAGGGAGAGACTGAAGATGCATGACTGCATTTCAAAATTAGCCTGAGGTATAATTTTGAGGGCAAGGCTGGATTGATTTSCAAGGGTCTACAGCTGTGTAAAGCAAAACAATTTGATGAAATCGTTGGAGCAAAAGCATTGAAATCCARTTGTACTACCTGAAACACTATCTTGTTAAAAAACAAACTCTCTTCTTATTTTGTTAGAAGAGTAYTAAAAGTAAAATAAATTTCACAAAATTTTGTAAATAGCAAGAAATGTAATTGTTCTTCTTCTGGCATGCTCAGTATTCAGCAACAAACTCCAAGGGGAAGGGGGAATTACGCAACCAGACACTGAACTGAAGTGAACACTGAAGTGAACACTGAAGTGTTCATCAAACACTTGTGTAGAAAAGGTATGGAATAGTTTAGTCTCTAGAACCGTTGTAAGACAATAAAATCACTAACTACTTCTTTCTTATTCCTGATTGGTTTGAGCCCTCCATGAAAAACAGTATTTTTTATGAATTAATGATAGATTTAGGAGAATAAATTTAACAGCCAGCAGTTGAATTTATACGTTTAAAGCTGAAAATCTTCAGTGGATCACCCTGCAACTCAGTTACTGAAAACACTTCTGGAGTTTTCATCATTGGTTTGGTTTAAACAATACTTCTGTAAGACCATAATGTGTAACCAGAAGATGACATAATGACACTATGATTCAAAAGCATGTCAGGGAGATGTTAAAGTAGTTGCTAGACCAATGCTGACAATCAATTTAAAACTAACAGGTGTAGTTCTGTAAAAAATAAAACTTGGTATTTAATCTACAGTAATTCAATGGTAGCTAATACTTGGTACCTATTCCAGTGTTGAAAACAGAGCAAAGTGCTATAGGATTTAAGATTGGTTTGTGACAAATCCAGCTGAAGAAGGTGAAACTTAACTCAGGCATCATTCACTCCAAGGACTTTAGCATGAGTTCACTGGGAGGGACGTGGCCATATTCTCTTTTTTGTGTGAGTTTAGGTAATGTTCCTGTATTTACAATYGAACAGACCTTCCATTGCCCATGATGTAACTCATTGACAGCCAAAAAATTATTCATGCTTCTTTTCATATCACACGATGGTGGCAAGAACGAGAGAACATGCTTGTCTAACATTGTTTCAATAGGGGTAAATTCTCTGAAGAYCAAGCATCAGCAATTGAAATGGAAGGTCAGACATTGTCTGTTCRTTTTCCTCAGTATAGCTACTGTTATCTGCAGTCAAATGTCAGGAGAATCCACTCTCTTCTGCAGCTATGGCATCTCGGTGACYGGACGTTTCTGTTTCAAAGTGTCAATGAGAGACAAGACTCCTCTTTTTACGTTGGTTGTAACTCTTCTGGTCACCGAGTCTGCGGGAGGTGGGGGCGGCCGAACTTTCTGTGAAGGAGGTCTGGCTACTAAGCACTTCTGATACCGTAACTGCAACAAAGCAAAGGCATTCTGCAATCATCACTGTATCAAATAACTTCCCAGACCATTTTAAATACACTCTTAGTATTTTCTCATTATATATAGGCAAACCTCTGTTTTGGCTGTGACAAAAAGCTCAGCTGAAGTTAATGGGATATTGGTCTATCAATGTTTGGGCAGAAAGTGTTCATTAGCACACAACAGATACTAAATCATATAAATACCCATTTGAAAACTGAAAAATAAGTTTTCTGGGTTCAACTACACTTGAACAAGRATTATTTTCACTGTATTACCACTGGATTTTATAACACAATTCCAAGCAAAATGTTTTTCCAGCACTAGATAACCTGCATAGTGAAAGAAAAGATTTCTAATTGACGCAGATGTTGCAGGGGTTAGGAGAAAAATTTATTAAAGGGGCATTGTTCACTAAGCTGACACTTAAAACTTTAAAATGTTTGGATTTTAATTTATTAAGTTATCGATTGTAGATTCCTACTTTTATCTTTCTTTTCTCTGTCTTGAAATTAATATAACTGCAAATTTGAAAAGATGATAATTTATGGAGGTAGCGAAAATCTTAAGTGCTATTAGATGCCTTTGAAGAATGTCACTTACCATACAAGCAGCCTGAACAGCTTCTGATACATTGCCTGCATTTGGTTCACACCAAAAAACATGGCACTCAAAATGCTGGTTCCCTGTGTCCATAATGAAAGCGAACGTGTGGATGTCTTTGCCAACTCCCATGAAGGACAGGAACCGCACACGACATTCCACCATGACTTCCTCTTCATTCTGGTTATGAATCAAAGGATTGATTACTAATATTGGATATTCTGAGGAGCTTTCAATTTTAATTAAATGGGAGGACATACTGATATAGTATTTTAATATTCTTGTGTCTTAATTCTTGTGTCTCTGCATGAACCAAGAGTGCTCAGGCCTGGGCTGGATCTCCCCTTCCAGGCTGTCACCAGAAAACCAAGCCTTTGAGCATTACCATGGAGCATGCTGTACATTTTAAAAGTTGCTTGTTTTGTGAAGCAACAAAAYAACATGGCTATAATGACTCCAAAACATGCTTCCCTATCACTGCTRTGTTACAGAGATGTTGGTTTAGTACCTCATCAAAAGACTTACATAAAAGACTGCATTAGTAGGCTTCACTATATTAAACTCTATGGAAAATGCTTTWCATTTTCCTCTGTAACACAGATTTKAATATTACTCTCACCTTCCATACCAAGAATAAGGCAAATGCAGTTTGGAATTTARGATTGCTACTTAGGGCTTAACCTACAACATATTAGGCCCAAAAATCCTAGAAGGAAAAACACTGAATTTAAGTGTCTAATGATACTTATAATAATTTGTTTTCTGAGAACATGCTTGGAAGGATAAAGAAAACTGAAGCTGATATGAGCAGTGTAAGAGCCTGCAGATTCTGGAAAGAAATAAAATACAAAATGAACAAATTAATTTTGGTTTAAATTAACCCTACTAGCATTTCTGTGTTCCTAGTTTTTAACATTCATATTATGTTAAATGTGTTTTAATCARCACAGTCTGCCTTACTCTTTCATTGATGACTGTGACAGTAGCATCAGCAACATTCATGGTAACTGGCATCCAGTCATCTTTGCTAGAGGAAGCCATTAAACTTTCAATGGCACTATTCAGAGTGTCCATTCCTAAAAGAGAAGAAAATGTAATAGTGAAAAATAGTATATGTAAAAAATAACAGATTTTTTATCTTCACACAGCAGTTTCAAAACCAGGTTGTTTTGGATTCCTTACTAAAACCGATTTGATTAAGGAAAGCAGTATTCTCCACCTGGAAAACCAAAACAAATGCCTCTGGCTTATAAAAAACAGGATAAGATCTTGTTTAGCTTCTGTACCGTTTCAGTTCTCTAGGGCTCTTTCATTAGTAGCAGAGCTTATATTCAGAGAAATCTGTAGCAAGAAACTTTGCCTTCTTGGCAGCTCCCAAAATACCCTGTTTGCAAAACACATGTTCATATGATGCCCTGAACATTAAATGTCTTCATGCCTGATTTATATGACTGAAACAGAAGAGTTGCTACCCTTCAAAAGTCATGCACTGATAGCTCAAGAGCCGTTAGTGTAAGGAAGGTACTTTGGAACATATAAATGTTACATACCCACAGGTTTAGCTACAGGGAGCATGCCCAGGTACTGGACGTGGAACTTCTGCACCAATTCTGTCTTTGGTGTTGGGAAATCTACTACATGGGAACAAAAGTAAATTTCTGTTAATCAGCATTCACAGCAGGAAAAAAYATTTTTATTTCATCAATAACATAAAACTGTTTACCCATTATTTGTATTCTGAAGGTATTGCATTAATTAAAACTAATTTTTACTCCTAAAAAGAACMAACTTCAATAATTTCTAAAGGAATTGTTGGTCTATGCCAAGAATAAGATCACATTATGTTGCTGGCATATTAAAACTCAGAAAATATAGATGAATGGCTCTCTGAGATACATAGACTTAAATTTCACTACARTAACTATGTAAAATCTGGAATCTGTTTTTAATACCATCCTCACTAATGTGTTAAACAGTCTTAAGGCAATCAATACTATTGCCTGAACAGTACACATTACACAGACCATTGCACAAGTTGATGGATTAGGAGCAAGACATTCAGTACAAGCTGGTGAATCTAGAAGCATATAATTTGCTGTAAAGCTAACAAAAAGTATATTTGTTCTCCTGGAATACTTTCAAAACAGCAGCTCCTAAAATATGACTAATAACAGCATTCAAAGGCAACTTCCTTCTACCATTCAGCAGTGTACAAAAGRCTCTTCAGCTGGATGGCAACCCACTTGCACCCTTGCCTCAGAAGTTGCTACAATAGATGTTGAAACATAGGAAGGGTACTCCTATGGCTCTTCTGAATCCAAGTGACTAAATGGAATATATTCTGGTTTTAAGGAAGATTTGGCCAACTCATGCAGTTTCAAGTCAGGAGGTATTTTGATTTGAAAAAGACAAYATTCTGAGTAGCCACAAATAAGTAAGACTGGGTTTGCAACACTTGCATTCCAAAACAGAAGAGGAAAAGCACGAGTTGATGCAACTGAACAGGAGTCAAAATAACCAAGAAAAATACTTGAAGTAATACAGGAACAGATTACAATCAGTCAGATACAAGGCAGGATTACACTTGTGATTTCTCCACCCAATATGCTCCATTTTGGTCAAAAGCTGCAAAAAACTTATCTGAAATAGGACCATCCTGAGGATACTAGCTGTAACACACAGTACCTTGCAGAGGAACTTCAAGGGTGACATTTGTCCTGTCTTGCAATGAGCTGCAAGCCATAGCTTTAGCATTCTTCCGTTCAGCCATAATCTGAAGAAGATGGTGATAATACAGCATTTAAAAAAAAATAGAGTACAGCAGCAGCTACAAATTTACTCCTCTTACAACCTGAGTTTCTGAATCTGAAATAAGTTRGAAGCTACATGACTAAGCAGATTATTCTTTTTAAATAACAACTTTAGTTTTACTCCATKTATTCACCATTCCTTAACTACATAAAAAATTTAAATGGTGTTCAAGCCTAAATGAAAGAGAGATTGAGGAAGAAAAACACCTGGTCATTTTTATCAACAGCAAAATCATAGTGAAGAATAATAAAGCAAGAAACATAAATATTTAACACACAGAGAAGAGTGTTCATTATTTCCATTGCTCTCTGAGCTATCTTCTGCTGTGTATAATTTYCCCCTCCATTTTAATGTTTACTCTGGAATTAAAAATCCCATCCAAAATACAATTTGTTCTTCCTCCAAAATGTGTAGTACTAGCAAAAGAGGAAAAAACACACTTTAAATAACTGTTTAGGATAGCTATTCCCTACAAATACATGACTGAGAAAGGACCCAGAGAAGCTAATAGAGGTTTTCTAGAGCTCATATATGAATCCTAGCTATCTGCATCTTTATTTTATGACCACTGTAATTCAGCTGTAAAGATAACTGGTGATACAGCAGATTACACTTGGTCTGAAAATGCTTCTAGCAAATTTCTCTCCTCTCCCCCCTCTTTTTTTTTTTCTAGGTTTTATATTCTGAAAGTATTTTCTGTTGCAGGGACACATGGGGATATTCCTGACCCCTCTGATGAAAAATTATACACACTAGTTTAGGAAGAAACCCTGACTCAGAAAASAGATACAGCATGTCAGCAAAAGCCAAGTGCTTCCCCAAATCAGGATTACATCTATTGCTGAATTAACTGTGTTACTGTCAGCTATGGTTTTAAATGCCTAGTTGTTCTCTTATCCAAAATTAATGTYGGAAGTTTTATGTCATAGATACTTATGTAACAGCTATACGCCCTTTCTGAAATTCCTGTGTAAAGCTATGATGGCATTTACTTGATGTTGACCTTACTGGATAAAAGCAGCAGTGATAGGGCCTGTGTAGCACATTTTTCCCTGCTAGACTTGCTGGARACATCTGTGTGCATTGGAGAGTTGGAAGAGAACTAGGAAGAACATACAGGTCTCCAGTCAGCCACTGCTGCAATGCTGGTGCTGAAGTTCACCAAGCAAAGCCTGCAGTTCCTTGGTCAATCTGAGTTCCTTGCCACTGGCACTTCCTCTGGCACCCAAAACCTGGACAARTCTGCCAAGCTTTGCACAGTTGCTGGGTTACCTTCTGTCTCAGGCGCAACTCTGCTGCCCTGAGGGTTACAGTAATGCACATTGTGTAAAGGCTCACGTTGCTTGCATGAAACACCACAAACAAGTTCAGTACCACGTCTGCAGTGTTGCAAAAATGAAAAAAWTTTAGACTATACAACTGACTACAGAGGAGGGTTTGTCATCACTGATTCCATTCACTAATGTGTAAAAAGAAACTGACAGTCACACAGCAGAATTTTAAAACCTGAAGGTTTCCTAAGTAGCATTTCCAGAAGAGCTGTGACTCAGGAGGTGAGACAAATTACACAGGGGTAACTGATAAGGTTTCTCATCTTCACAGCCCACTTTTCTTGTGAAGCCAACTAACGTGTTTTAAAGAAAATCAAAACAAGCAGCATAATATTTTTAAAATGGGAACTGCAGTCTCAGATCCCCAGAGCTCAATAAAAAATAAGAATTTCAAGTGGATTCGTTTAACTTCCTCTTTATAAAGCGTTTCAATCAGATTGCCTGCTGTAAAGGATGTGCTGTATTGTTACTGCTGCATGAAATGACTGTGCAGGGACACTCATGAACTGGTCATCCAAGAAAATCAAAATTAATGACCAAGGAGTGGTGTCAAATCTGTAAGGTAGAATGACTGAAAAGAACAGTCTTTTCCAGCATTAAGGACAACACTATCAAAGAAGGAATGAAGATCCTTTAGTGTATGTAACCAAAGTACCTTAAACCCCTTCTTATCCATGTTTTTTTAAAATATAGTTAGCAACTATTTTCCTCTTATGTCCTGCAGGATAATAATATTGAATAACACAATTCAAACAAGGTCTGATTTATTTATGGAGTTTAACATCATTGTTTATTATTAATTGAACCTCTGTGTTCTTTTTCCATTTCAAACCTGCAGCTTCTTATTATTCAGGAAAGCCTTCAGTCTCTATACACACTTGTCAAATCAAAAGCACATATCATCCTCACCCTCCCATAATTCCCATCCATTTGTGTCCTTTCCCTTACAAATTCTCTGTTTCCTGTCGTCAGTAATGTAAACTAAACTAACACTATGTACAACTGCTGTTTATATGTAAAAGGTGCAGGGACCTCTGAACACACAAATGCATTTGACTTTAAATCCACTTGCCTTTGAGCAGATTTCGTGTAAACTTGTAGCAATGGCTTTTGCAGGTGTGTCACATCGAAACACATGACATTTCAGAATTCTTGTGTCTTTGTCTCTTGCCACATAAGCAAAGTCTCTGTAAAAAAGATAARTGGACACATTAGAAACATGCAAAACAAATTTTACAGCATTAGAATCAGTAGTATTTCCAAACCTGCAAGTCCTGCTTTGGTTTAACAGGTGTATGCCTCAGCTTTCAAGGTGTAGAACACATGCCTTTGACAAAGCAGGTCTACAAATGTGGTAAATTGCTTACCCATGAAACACATGTAGAAAGTCTGGTGATTGATCTGTACAATTCAAAAGCTCATTATGGTTTCCTAACCATGCAACTTACTCAAGCTACAAACCGTAATTCTAAATGCAATTGTAAATAAACAGCAAAATTTAGTCAAATATGTTACTGAAGACAAAGTAGGGAGAGAATACATATTAAGACAAAAAACATCTGCGGCTTTTAACTGCTAAAAAAAAAAGAAACAGCATACAAGACTGTAGTCAGAGAAAAATATTTCAAAGGACTGTATAAAGTGTTTAAAATATGCAGATAGTAATTAGAGATCTGGTTGCATAAGGGAGATGTGAACCTGCTGAGCTTTGCTCACACTAATTGCCCTAAATTTCTGACCTTATTTTTTCGAATGTTAAATAAAGCTGCCCTACTAAAGAGATTTTTGTACTAGTCACCACAGCACAGTATAGCTTTCTAGCATGGATGAAGGAAGTGTCAGGACTAGGTTTATTTGTTCTCAGGCTGCTTAAGAGTTGGAGCTCTTCTGAAACAGTCAAAGTGACACATACTGAGCCAGGAAGAAGCCTGGCTTTGCCCAGTTGCCATCTTTGCTATACCAGACCCTCTCTTTACTGGTCTTGCACCTTTGCTTTTTCATGTCCTCCACRCAACCACAGCTCATTCCTACTTTGTGACCCTCTTGCCTCCTTCAGACTTCTCTGGGGCTTTGCTCCAGCCTCTAATGCCTGAAAACTCTCTTCAGTGCCTTTCTGCTTTACACGTAAATAATTGCCAGCAAGACTCTAAGTGGTGAAGAGGTAGGAGGGATATTCCTAAGCCCCAGACCTAAACTAAAGTTTTTCTGTATATAAAAGTCTGTAGATATTCCAAGCAGTGTTTAATGCAGCATGGATAGACAATTTTTTTATTCACTTTAGATGCCCAGTGAATTGAAGAATTTTCTACCGAAGCTGTCCAGCTATCCAGGGAGAATCAGAGACTACCAGAGATAGATTGCTGGCCTTCCAGCTCTGTAAGGGATACAGACACTATCCCACAGTTAAATACTGTATCTGTATCTAATTGAACAGCAGACTTTATCCTTAATTAGCCCTTGAAATGTAAGAGATGCTCAGTAACAGGTACAGGTGATTGTTCCATCGAATTGTTTTGTAACCTGAAGCCTGATGAATAATATTTAAAGAAASCCAAGCCACGCAAAACTACAGGGATGAGATTTGGAAGCAATTCCCCATGACAGAACCATGCAGAAACAAGTTGAAGCTGGAGRCCCCTCTCCATCTCATTGCACCCCAACCTGCAATGGCACACATCAGGGCACAGCCGGGACAGGAGGCAGTGGGGCAGCATGTGCAATGTGCTGCCACCTCAACCCTTCCTGCATAGGGAATGCAGCCCATGGGCTGCACTGGCTCTTGCTGGCTGCAGCACTGCCCTGTCAGCATGTAAGACATGGGCATCCTGGGGAGGGACAATRTTTAACCCAGCTGATAGGGACCTGCAGGAAAAATCACAAAGCAATAACCCAGGAAGGTGTTGTTTACTACACAAGGTACCCCAGGGTTTCCCMGCTCCAGTCTGACCCCAAGTCCCTTGGCCTTTTGGCACATTGTTCTCTTTTTCTGCACTGCAAGGTCAGAGAGATACTGTCTTTCAGCTGGAATCTTGCTCCTGGTGAAAGACCGATGCTTTTGGCTCATCTGGACATGTGCCAAGCCCTGCTTTAGAATGGTTTCCTCCTAGCTTAATGCTTCAAAAGCAAGCTGAAGATTCCCAACTGGACTCCATGAAAATGGGTAGGCATACCTGTAGCCTATGAAAAGTTGGCAGCTGTGGGGKAAAAAAATGAAACTAGGTGCCACATAAAAAAATGTTTGAGACTTTTGCCTTTTGAAATAAACTTTCAGCAATACTGAAATGCAGGGCAAGTCTCTAGAAATGCTCAGGTTCACRAAGTCCCATATATAATATCCTGAGCTCTGACAAGACTTTGCCTGGTATGAGAGCTGTAGGTGAGGAATTTCCAAAAATTCTAAGCATTTCAGATTTTGTTTTCTGTGGGCTTGGCTTCAGCTGCCATCTTTTAAATGTACTAAGTTACCAACGCCACATTTTTGAGTCCAAATTCCTTCCCCTCTAAGTATTTTAACTGCAATACAAAAACATAATTCACTTAACAGACATGGCATTTCCAGGCATGGATTTTCTACCATAACTTKGATAAGACTTCCCCCCACTTTACATACAGGAAAAGCTTGCAGGCAGTGACCATCACTTACAGGTAGCAAAGACACAGCATTAAAAAGCAGAGTGCTGTGCACACTTTATACTGAATCAAGGTCCATTGTTTCAGAGGGCAGACATAGTAGCTGAAACCTGTGTTTGCGTTAAAATAACACTGAAAGTCATCTATGTGACCATTACATGGTAACTATGTGACCATTACATGGTTATTTATTGCCATTTACAAGCAGCTACCTCAGATCAATGCTATTCCTTCAAGGACTTGTAAACAAGTGATTTATGCATTCCTTTACGAGATGATCCCAGGAAGAACATCCTGTGTTGTTTTGCCAAGCTGCTGGCACTGCACAGAAGTCTGTTGGAATAAATAGAAATCTGCACATCCTGAGGAGGCTGTGCAATACCAGGATTTCCAATTATAAGGCCAGCAMCTTTGAGGAGTTGCACACACCCAGAAGATAAGCAGCCCTTTCTATCAGCCATGCAGATATCTGTTAGCACCTTATTTYACTGTCAGTAAGAGCGAAGATGGGACAAAGCCACCAAAGCCAGTCATAAGGGCTTGGMGCACATAACACATTGCCAGCAAAATCCATCTGTAATGACCCAAGAAACTGTGGTCCAGCCTTTGATGAGTAGCTCTCATAATGCCCTGGCAATGCTCTGGCAATTTACTTCCTCAATGAACTACATTKCTTTGCTGTAGGAGACCACATCAGGCAGGGCATCTTCACTGTGCTGCCAAGTTCCTGCTACATGGGACAACCCCTGAGGCCACAGTAAATCTCACCTTGAAGAGAGTCTATCTGAGATCCAAGCTCAGCTACAAGGACTTTCAGCCCTAAGGGAATCTGTAAGGTAGAACTAAATGTGTTTAGTCAGCATGTCCCAGTGAAGGTAGAACTCAAAGGACTGTGGAGAAAAAAATAAGTCAARCAATTAAAATGCTGTTAAACTAAAGACTGAATTCTGTCATGATCAAAGATTTTGGCTTTAAAGGAACACAATTGATAATTGTGCCCTGTAMGTGGGAAGGAAACATCTTTGATAGAAGTATTTTCAACAGCGTTTTAAAGGCTGAGAGGTTGACTGGGGGTGGCCTGTTGAGCATTGAGGTTTTCCATCAARTCTAAATTTACTCTTCTGAACAAACAGAGCAATGTGGAGGGTACTGCTGACAGTAATGAGCCTGCCCACTTTCCAGTAYGAACATTTCTCTGTTTCTGGAAGGGTAATGGCAGCCAAATGAATGAGCCACCATGCAGAGCCAGCCCAGTAACCACTCTGAAAGGTAAAATCTGTGGCAAGAGCAGAGGGGAGTCTGATGGATGTTACAGATGCAGTGTCTGCAGTGAGACACTGCAGGTGACAAGGAGGCTCATCTGCCACTTTAGCCCTGCCAAAGAAGGGCCTGCAACCCTGTGGTCCCTGCAAGAAGGGCCTGCAACCCTGAGAAGGACAAAAGTCCTGATAAGATAGATGTGCTCTGCATTTGTCAAAGGGAAGATGATATCCACAAAGATGTTACTCAAAATGCAACATGTTTTTCTGATGGAGCTGGTAGCAACCCTGTATACAGGCTACCTAATGCTCTCCTCCATGGACTGCAGGACTTCTTTTTTAATGGTTTGAATGCAAAGAGATGGGAGGATTTGGAAGAAAGTCCAGTGCTCCTGCAGTGTGAAGGGACACCTTCAGCTAGAACAGGTTGCTCAGAGTCCCATCCAACCTGACCTTGAATGTTTCCACAGATGGGACACCTATCACCTCTCTGGGCAACCTGTTCAGGATTTTACCACCTTCATCACAAAAAATGTCTTCCTTATGTCTAGTCTGAATTGACCCTCTTTTAGTTTAAAATCATTATCCCTTGTCCTATCACAACAGGCCCTGCTAAAAAAACCCCAAAGTACCTAAGACTCATTATTGAGGCCTTCCATGAGAGGACTGGCCATGATCCACAGTGTTGCATCAGACAGTGTAAAACTCTCCGTCAGGGGAGGTACCTGGGCATTTTCATCTAAACCTGAATGTGTATTAACCCACGGAACTTTTTGTTTTGGGGGTTCCTCTTGATGGATCAAGACTGTGACCATCACATTGATCAATGGATATCAAAAYTGCAACTATCAAGTTTTGTTGCTGGATCTATGTGTGGTGAAATCTTTACTCYCCATTATCTACTCTTATCCATCCTTCCTCTTTTTTCTTTCTTCCTTGCCTGCTTGCTTTCTTGCTTTCCCTTACATATCTTCCTAAGTGWTATTTTCTAACCTTTGTAAAACACCAGTCATTCAGTGCCCTTTCRCTCTCATTCACCCATTCATCTATTAACAAGAACCTCAGCTACCCTTTCTTCAGGGATGAGTTATAACACCAAGAGACCTCTTTTTCAGGCTGAACAAACCCAGCTCTCTCAGCCTACCCTCACAGCAGAGATGTTCCACTCTGATCATCTTCAYAGCCCTCCTCTGGCCCTTATGCCACAGGTCCATGTCTTYCCTGGGCTGAGGACTCCARAGCTGAATACTCCAAGTGTGGTCTCATGAGCCTGGAGCAAAGGGGGAGAGTCACCTCCC